CTTTCCAGACCAATAGATCTCCATGGGTAACTGAACCACGATTAGGTCTATTCTGATATTACAGTCTGCAGGCGACGAAAGATAAAAGCCTGATGATAGCCACAAGCCTCTTACGCTGACATGAAACTAATCTTGGTTCAGCAATATCATTTAGATGTATTGGTCTGGAAAGGGTGAAGAGTGACAGACAACTGAGCTTACTACCCCGAGAAACACATCACAGTTCAGTACAGGTGCTGTTTGACAAAAGGCAGCTGTGAGCAAACAACCTGAAGGGAAACACAATGTGTGCATTTGCTTTAATTATAATGCAATCAGTCCTTAGCTTATTTTTAAAAATTGTGCTTAATAATTTAATATAAATCATTGTAATAAAAAAATCAAACCGTCACGTAACCTGCTGCATTACTAAGTCTCTATCCTCTGAAACCTTATTCACAGAAATCAGCATATTGTAAGGTACTGTACTGGGTCCCTAAGAAAAATAAACGAAGATCTGCAGGATTCAGCTCCTAGCAGAGAAAGGAACTTGAAAATATACTTTGAGAAAGAAAAAAATCAGTTTTAAATGAGTCTTAAATCTTAACAATTAGTCTTAAATATGGTTAGAATAAACAAGAAATTACATATATGAGTTTTAATATCTTTAAAGTTAGACATAAATTGAGTCATCTGTCTCAGCTGGGCCATAACAACTAGTTTTCAAATCTAAACACATGCCCCGTGTACACATACGATCCAGTTTTATCCTCGCTTGCACAAAGATACAACACACTGAGCCTGGTCTTAGCACTCACCCAGAAACATCAAATTTAAGTCCACTGAAGTCAATGTTATCAAATACGTACTGAAAGGAGAACCATACCTCTAGTATTACTAGAGCAAGTGACTTATGCTAGGTGAAGTAGGAATTAAACACCTGAGAAAGATCTCCTCCAATAATTACATGATTAAGCAATGCAGCATAATTCACAACACAGGCAGGCGCCTGTATTTTGTGCCTAAACTGTAACGGCTCTAACTCCAAAAAGGAAATTTTTCTGGGAGTACAGATGAAAGAGGAAATGAGACATCTGTAATTTGACTCCATGGAAGGCTTTAATCAAAAATATCATGTTCTCATGCTTCTTGCTGACTAAGTCTAAATGATTTTTTAAAATCAACGTAGGAACTAAATAAATATTGTCGCGAACAATCGTGTCAATGCTGGGACTATGTGCCAGTCGAGTGCACGTGAACTGGTCAGCTCATGAATCTAAGCACTTGGCTTAGGTGGAAGAGCCGAGTGCACGTGAACTGGTCAGCTCATCTAAGCACTTGGCTTAGGTGGAAGAGGTTCAAGAAGAGACACTTAAGTATTGGATTTCAGAACATTTCTTCTCACCTCTAGCATTAGTGCGGTACCACAGAAGAAAAGTCAAGGTGCAAGAAAGCCAGAAACCTCATAGTTTTAATGAAAAGTCTTACTGTGAACAGAAACCATTCACATCTTCCCAGGGACAGACTTTGTGGTTGGCTTTCCCGAATATGAACACTACCATGCTGCTGATCAATGGCTTTCGCTACTATTACGAACTTTCTACGACAGCTCTATGGAACAAAGATCAGGTATTTTTGGTTCTGTGTTTGTACAGCATCCGACCCAACAAAACCCCAGTTCATGACAGCAATAAATGCAACAAAGAATGCTGTGGTATGTGCAGAATTCAGCATTTTGGTTCTTTATTTTAGTGCAATTCTGTATGCAATACACTGTCCGCCCTACACATGAACATCACCCCTTGAAACCATTTGTTTGGCCCACTTACCGGCAACGACAAATGGGTTAGTTCTTGAGGATGTTCAGCTGAGGAAGTTTGCTCCTTAGTGATTCGTTCTAGAGCGCTGCTAATGCCCTCCAAGGGTGGCTTCACTTTCAGCTCTGGGTGGCCTGGTGATGGCTCCAGAAATATTTTAGAGAGTATTTTTGTCTCTATCAGTTTTCTTCTCTCTTTTTCACTGCCTGGATCTTCCATAGACAACGCTGTATTAAGCCAAAATTCCCCTGTTTCCCCAGCTTGTCTCTTGCTCAGTTCTTTCTCCTCAAGATGGTCTGTGGAATCTGCAAAAGATCCTTCAAGAACCGTTCCCTTTTGGCCTGGAATTTCTTCAGTATGGCTGGCAAGACTGGAAGTCTCATCTTTAATCACTTGCATATGTTTTTTTGCAATGACTTGGACACCATCTGTTTCTTTCTGCAAGCCAAAACTTTCCAGGTTTTCATTCCAGACCTCCCATGGATGTCTTGCTGTTTCCTGTATTTGCTACAGGTAGAGCAAATACACATGCAAAAAAATCACATCTTCTTACTAAGCTACAGAAGTGGACAATAAGCCAAAACAAAGTGATTGGCAGACAGCAATTCCAAATCAGACACCATCTGGTAGCAGCACACAGCATGCTTTGTCACAGAAAACAGTAAGACTGTTTACTTTGCAAAGTCTCTAACTTCAGAAAACGCTAAATGCCCTTGAAGTTAATTTGCCTTACGTCTGGTCATAACGTGATGTCTTACACCAAGATAAACGAATGGGAAAAGCGGCCCAGGAAGTTAGTCTTCCCATGATGCAATAACAGAGTCAGCTGGCTTATCTTCCAGCTTCCTGTGATGACTAGTCTTCATCACTGCAGATATAATGTAATCATTTTATCTCAGAACAGCTGTACAAGGGACTAACTTCATACTAGTCCTCTTTGTCCTCCATTAGTCCTCCACATGTCCTACTTCTACGTTTTCTAGATACATAAAGTGGTGGTTGAAACTATAGCAACCACTGAAAAGTTTAGAAGCCGTTACAGAGCATTACTGTTAACGCATGGATGCTTAGTGGCTTCACAGAGCCCTCATCCTGAGGGTATGAATGTTCAGCAACTGAGCTGCAGGCACCGAGTTTATTACAGAAAGGTCCACAGACTCAGCGAGCAGCATCTTCTTCCTTAACAATTCAGTGTTATCATCAACCCATAAATATTTGGATGCTCTTTCTGACTAGTAGTTTGCTCTCTGTTTCACCCTGGGCACCTGCTATTACACAACGACCAGTACCTTCCTCATCTTCAATAGGTACATTATTCAAAATATGTTTTGTTAGATTTAGAAGAGGCTGAAAGATTTCTTGAGAGACAGGACCATGAGTAAAGTGAAGGTTAGGATTTTAGAGAGGAAGAGAGGAGATCCATAACGTTAGGAACTAAGGAGTGTCATAGGTCTTGACAAAAGAGTAGAAGGACAATAATAGAAACTTCAGGAAGAGGAGACAAAGGAAAAAAGGCCTAAATCTCCACAGCAGAGAGAGCTTACAAGAGGAGCTATATAAAGAGAAAGAAAGTAGTACTGGGGACTATGCTCTTACATGACACAACTCAGTCAAATAGGTTCAATAAAAGTAACTACCCACATCGCAGACAAACAAAAGAGTGGGGAGGGGGTTTAACGGTAGTACAGTGTGCACAGAATAGTCAACAACCTGCATATTTGAGTCTTCCCAGGAAAAATCCATCAGTTCTTCTGACAGGTCAGGAATTAAGTTTGGATGTTCTCGCTGGAAGATGAAAAGCTCCCCATCGCTCTCACAATCAGACTGACAACAAAAAAGAGAAATTAAATGGGAGACTCTAACCTCCAGCCAAATATCTGTTTTGTAGTGACAAATTTCATCTTTTTACCACTTCACTAAAGTTCAGAGACAAGAATTTTCTCTTCAGTCACATCTTCACTAGACAGTCTGATTCAGCAACCTAGGCTGTCATTACAGCGGCCTAGCATTTGAGCAAGCTACCTTAGTAAAAGCTACAGAAAACATTGAGTTACCATGGAGATTGATGACTAACATCCCCCTGTGCTAAATAAGGACAAGAGTGGGCAAGTCCTCTAACTCCCAAATGATCCCATGCACCTGCCAATTTAACAGACTACACTGCCTCATTCACTATTCAGAACGCAAAGCAGTATCCACACTTGGTTGGACAGAGTTTAAATAGAATTGAAAATCTCTTTCCTGAACATTAAGATACATGATTGACATGAATCTTTATGCATAGACACCAAAGTGAGATTAAGCACCTCCTCAGCAGACAGTCAGGACCCAGGTTTCCTGTTTGTCCCTTTGTTTTGCAACGTGACACTTTCAGCAACTGGCACTGTGGAGAATTCTCATTGTTTGGTGTGATTAGTTTTCCTCACCATGGAAGAAACTGCAGTAGAACTGCTTTCCTCTTAATAAGATGCATATGAGGGTGACCAAAGTACCCTTTGGGCATAAAGTACTGTTTGTCATTGCCGTTTCTGAATATAGGACCGCAGCCCATTGAGATTAGAGAACTCAGATGCATAAATATATCTTGACATGAGCAGAAACCACTCAGGCAAAGGTGCAGCACTGAAACCACAGTCTCAGCAGGCTACTGTTTTATATCAAGCAGGAGAGGGATTATACAATCAGATCTTTTGAATGCAAATTAAGGGCAGCATGTAAGTGCCAAACAGATTGCCTCAGTTCCTCCAGCAGGAAATGTGCTCAATATATAACAGAAACAAAGAAAATCTGGAGATCATTTATAGAAGTAAAAAAATGTTCAACGTGATTTACAGTTTAGAGATTGGTACTTGGCACCAAAGCACAAAGCTATCCTTCTGTCATGACATTACTGTACACTTATGCAACAAAAACGCCTAGAACTCATTCCTGAGTCTAGGGCCTTAATGTGTACTGTACAGACACACATTAAAATGCAATGCTTGCTTTAAATAACTAAAACAGAACGTAGGCAGAAGGGAACTGAGAAAGAGTGAGGCAATATGATTTGTCCAATAGGTTAGTGATAAAGCCAGGAACAGATATCAAGTCATGGAACCCATATCAACTCTTTACCCACTAGATCACGCTGCTTCTGATGACTGACTAATAATAGGTGCTTAATACCCCATGGAGACACTTCCAGCCCCGTCACTGCTCACAGGACTCCCTTTGTATGATGAAGAGGCACACTAAGTTAGGAAAAAATATTTCCCTTAAGCGTTCAGAAACATTTTCCTTCTAGAAATACAGGTTTGAAAACTAAGAGAATATTCTGATCTGGACAGAACGCCACTAATACTCAGTCAAATCCTGAGACACACGATCACCTCAGGAAAGCCACTACGAGAGCTAGCATCTCAGACTAGCGAGGTATACACTTGTATTACTGCCACCAAATTATTGCTGTCCTGTGAGCAGAGAACTTCCAAGTTATCAAGTGGCCAATAAGCAGTCAGTCCCAGACATTGAGACACAGCAGGTAAAAAACCTGTAACAGTGAAGAATACTGCACAATACTCATCAATCTCACACTTTATATTAAAAAGGTAAGTGGCATTATCCTCCTTTACACGTAGAATTGAAGCATAGAAAGGCAACATAGCTTGCTAAGAATTACAGGCAACGAAGAAAACAGAATCCAGGATTTAAGTATCTGCCAACTCCTTCTTCCAGACGACCACAAAGTCTTCAGAAATATGACTTCCCTGCAAGCATCACACATAGGAAAACATACTGACAGGCCTACTGCCTGGCCAGTACGCTTTTTGAATAACACTGTCAAGGATAAAATCAGAATAGATTTCATTTTAACACAGCTGTAAGTTTCTTTCATACTGTACTCTTTGCTGAGCAAACAAAGACGACATGTAGGCTCATTCTGTGAGATGCCCACTACCACCATCTTCCCACTTTGAGACTACTTAGTATCTGGGAAAATCAGTGCCATTTTTAAGTTCCAAAGAATGCAGTGAAGTGAGGTGGCAATTACATCCTGACCATTAGAGCTAATGCAGAAGGCTGATGATTAATGAACACACACTACAACAGTACTCAGAACAAAAAAGCAGTCCATCAAGGACACCATGCTAGCTACTCAGAAATGCCTGGCTAAGGAAGTGACCTTCTCTTGCTTTTGAGAGATTTTTCTAAAAGACTGTGAAAGAACAGTGGGTTCCCGTGCTTACTGTGGAAGTGTCAGAGTCCAGAGATGGGAGCTGATCTTTCACTGCAGCGAGAATGGCTCCCCACTGAAACGCTCTGTTACTCTGAACAGGAGCTGTAAGAGGCTCAGGTGGACACTCTGTATCTTCACTTTGCCTTTCTGAGGCCATTTGAACAGCTTCCCTTCAATCAAATGAAAGATGAGCTTGGTACACATCACGAGAGAAAACAAATGATAACATCATTACAAAGGAAGAACAAAGCATGTGTATTCAGGGTCAACATAATTCTCAACACTCACAGGGTTTTCACTCCCAGCAATGAATGATAAGATCTGCATTCCTGAAGCCTTTCCTTCCCACCTGAGTTCCACAAGGCCGAGAGCTTTTTGCCCTACTCACCATATACATACATAAACGGGGCCATCCAGGGGTCATTTTAACCCCTCATTTATAAAGCAGATCTTGACTGGGCTGATTTGTAATTGTGCTCTCAGAAAAGCACATTCTCACTGCCCACGTCAAGAGGCAAAGAGGAGGCATGACACCTCTGCTCTCATTTGGTCTTTAACTCGCTTTCCCATTTCTCCTCATGTTCCCTCCCCCTCCACTATTCAAAGACTGATAAAATGATTTACAACTGCTTTTTATCACTGGATTTGCATAAAAATAATTTCCAGTAGCCATGCTCTTGGATTTTGACCTCTCAAACTCTTTATAGAGTGAATGCCTTCCTCATGTTTTCGCTGATGTACAAGAGGAGTCGAGAAAACACAGTAGGGGCTACCACTGTGCTTGTTAGATAATTAAACCTAATGGAAGACCTTTGCTTTTCGAATTTCTGTGCTACAATTGCATGGTTCCCTGGGGAAATCAGAAGTGGGAGTAAATCAGTTCCATTTGGTAAGAAAGGCTAAGAGATTTATGACTATGTGGTTCAGAACTGAGTTGATTATTCATATCATTACAATATCATTATGACGTGCATTGGCATGGATTGACAACATACCTCTCCGTATAAAGGGAAACTCATCTTATGCCCTGGGAAGTTCACAACTCACAAAGTGCCGCTTCACAAAGCAAACGCTTCCAGTGCCATCCACCTACAGCCTACAGTTTTTTTTTTCACATGAGGTAATGCTGGAATCTGATTTACATAATGCTCGCGGGGTGTGGGGGGGGAATCACCAAGACTGAAATATGCTCACATAGAAGTTTGCTGAAAGGAACAGGATTTCCACGGAAAACCAACCACTTACTGTGGCTTCCCCTGCCACCGGGAGAAGCAAGGCCAGTCTCCCAAGGTAAGGGCCGGGATGCCCAAATTCAGGATGCTATACCGGACCTGACATCATTCATCTAACCCAATACCTCTTCTCCAAGAGCAGGCAGTACCGTGTGTTTAAGCAAAGTGCGAACAGCCTTATGTCAGACAGCTCTAACGCTGCCACCGCTGTCGGGACCCCAGGACGAGAAGGAGCGCGGGGCAGCGCAGCGACGCTACCGAAGGGCCCTCAAGATGGCGGGGCGGCTGCGCACGCGCAGCTCCGCCCCTCGGCCTCCCCGTCGCCACGGCAACGCCGCCA